CCAGGGCTGTGGCCTTGGTCCTAAAATAAAGTCAGAGTTGATTTTTCCTTAAACCTAAGACTCAGTCGTCCTATTGCGAGCTTCCTCAACACTATAGTGTAAGCAAGTAACGGAGTAAATACCTGGCCCGTTACAGCCACGGCTGGACGGACGCTTGTTAGTCCAGCCTTGGGCTCTCAGCTCACGCCACACCGACCGCCAGGAAAGGTCACTCGACGTCACGAACTTGTTTGTGTCGGGCTCGCACCATCTTGTGTCTCCACTTGTGTCCTAGGCGCGCAAAATCTCGAATGAAAAATATCCCTCCGTCGGCGAGTGGCTGTCAGCCGTTACATGTCAAATTTGCTGATGCGCGTCAAAGTTGTTTGTTTCAATTTTCTAAAATATGAGCGACTTTCTCTTGCCAGAAGACAGATCGGGTTTTGCTTATGTAACAGAAAAAGATCATTTTGCCAAGATCGCTTATCTTAAAGTTTGTATACCCGCTGGCGAGGAAAAATACGCTCAATACAATTTCAAGTCTAAATTGCTCTTATGCAGCATAATGCAGTTTATGAAAAAAAAAACTGCATTATGCAGCACGTCGGGGTTATTTATGCATTAATCGGGAATCCTGTTTACATATGAGAGTAATAACAAAAACACCAAGGTAATATCACCATCTGGTCACAGCAGCTATATTCCTAGGAAGCAAGGCTCACTTCACAACATCACGAACTCGAATGAGTCGGTCCCTCATTCGAAAACGAAGCTTGCGTTGATCAGGGCTGAAGGTGATCATGTAGGATCTGAATACTGTAGCTATTTGTTACTGTTTTCTTGCAGGTTTATCGCGGCCGACGGAAATGAATTTGTCTTGATAGAAACTTATAAATTATCTCGTTGTCAATCTCGACCAAATTTACATTTTGGAGCAGACACTCACTTACAAGGTACCCTATTGACATGTACAGCACTATTCACTTGTATTTCTCTGGAGTGACTGTGTAGCCGGTATGACCTTTATTATTTAGGATGACGTTACACCCCCTTTATTAAATACTACAGTTCTGTAGTAGCCTAGATAGTAGGAGTAAAAAAGGCGGAAAGCGGTCTTTCGACCAGATGACTAGCGAGACAATTGTCTGTTCAGCGGATTACTATTGTAAGTTACTGCAGCTACTGTTACATTGCACAATGTAACAGTAGCGAACACTTTCAAAAAGGGCAGATTTCATTGAATCCGAACACGAAAAAAAGATTACAAATAAAGCAAATCAATATGGATAAAAAAGAAATTTAGCAGAGTATCAGTGCTTCTTCTTCCGAATTAGCTCATCACGAGCCCGAGCCAGCTCCGAAGAAGTTCAGACAAAACTATCATCCGAGCATCGGATATGAGGCGAAACCACGACGAGAAGCATGACTGCAACTCATAGAAAATACAAAAATGTTTTGCTTTCTGGAAGTGAAACAACATAGCTAACTGGCCACTTCGAGAATGCCGGTTGACTCCCGACCGAAATTGTCGTTTTTTCTTCAGTCAAGCCGATAGTGACATTTTTTTCGCTAATTACTGGGAGGACGGCGATGAGTTTGGATACGCCCGTAATCCATCGTCGCCCATCGACTCGTCTCCTCGAGCTCTGCACAAATCGTTCCACGATGGACACTTTCATGGTGGTATCTTCGAGGTGCGTCCAGCGTCCATCTGTGCCGAAGTTGCCCGAGCCGAACGTTGTCTCGAATCGAAAGTAACTCTGAAGCAACTTTTTCGATCCATAAACTCTGGAATCGGACAGACTCCGTTTTGTCTTCGAACAGGCAGGTCAGTCGCTGCTGTGTGGTGCTCCGATCCGTGCACGGCACTCAGTAGCTGCCCGAGATGAAGTGTCGACGCCATCTTCCGTCTGTACGTTCGACACTTCCAGCACGGCCGCGTCCGAGTCCTCGCGCTTCTCCGACTCGCCGTCGAGCCAAAAACTCGGAGACCTACTGACCCAAGTTGTGTGTGACGACTCGGATCAAGTTGCGCTTGCACAGCGTCGTGCTGCCTTCCTGGTGCTCGAGCAGCTTCTGCTAATTGACCAAAAACAAGACCAGAGATGAATGCCAATCTTCTCAACGCTGCGAGTGACCGTCAACAGCCAACCGAAGCAGCCAAGCGAGCGATGGACATCTCGAAACGTCCGACGGAGCTGGACGCCTGCAAGTTCGCGAGTGCCGACTCCCGTCCGTATCCGATGATGCCGGCTCTTGTCCAGAACGAAGAAGAGTCAAAGGAGGGGGAGCCAGAGCCGAATATCTACCCCATTCCAGCGAACGAGGAGGTTCGCATGGCCGCGATTGAGCATTTCCGTCTCCACGACGTCGCCAATGTCTCTGAACTCAACGTGATCTGCTCACTGGCTGCGGCAGAAATGAAGGCCCCTCACAGCGTCGTCACACTTGTTGAAACGTGATGTGGTGACTCTGCTGGCGACCAACGCACCGGAATACTGGGACGTCGGTACCGGTAATCCGCGCGAGCAAACATTCTGTCAGCACTTTGTCATGGACGATAAGCCGTTGCTCGTCCGTCACGCTGAGGCGGATATGCGGTTCTACCACATCGCGCCCGTGACGATGCGCAGTCTTCGGTTCTACGCTGGTTTCCCCGTGTCGATCCCGTGTGTGCCAAGAGCTCCGGGACAGCCTGAGAGAGTCGTCATTGGCGCCTTGTGTTGTCTTGATGAAAAGCCCCACGAGATGACGAGGTCGCAGTACTGGAAGCTCATGAAACTTGCGGAAGCAGCCTCCGCCATCCTGGAGAAGACTGCGACAGAATACATCGCTGACCCTGAGAATCACCCACTCGGACAACAAAGAACCGGAGTCCTAAAGCCTAAGGGCAATGGCACGGGAATGGTTACTTGCTAACCGCCACATCGAGGTCCAGTGATGGATGGTGCAGAAGTACATTGTTTTTTTGTTAATGATTTGAATCAATTAACGTACGAAATCATTCTAGAAAATGTGCACGCAACATTGGAAAACCGAATAGAAAGGCAGCAATTGCAAAAACAATTGCGTCGCTGTGACATTATATAAAATCTTTCGTAAGCAAGATTTCAAAATAATGAACAGCACCGGAGGGTGCTACATGTAGTGACGTAAGGTCTAGTATTGTAACTATCGGCGATTGCTTATCTTAATATTTGTAATGATATCTTGATATTCGCGAATATGAATAAAAAGAGTTACTATGCTTGTTTGACAACTCATTAAAATAGTAAGAGTAATTATAATGACTGATACTCGATAGTATATATACAGGGCTCCCGATAATGGCATTAATCGCAATCAAATTTCGAGGGTCTTATACATTATGCATTTGAATCTATGAAACCCGTCCACGCATTATGGCCATTAATGGAAACCACATATGAGACTGCGTCAAACAAAATGTTACTTATGAACCTTTGAGATAATCGAGCTTAAAGCTGGCCAATTGATTTTCGCACTTGACCGAAACAGTGACATTTATTGTAAACTTCCATAAAAAAACCGTAAAACTACCCTTATTCAATTGCTTTTAGCAAGAGCTTTTAAATAACACCTAAATCATTAAAATTAAAAAAATATTGAGCTCACAACACTCCTAAATGTATCGTCATTTCAAGGGCCCATAAATGATGATAATATTTTTGAGCGACCACAACTTCTTCAATTTATAGCATTCTGCAGCTTATAAGGGCTCAAAAGATAGAGGAGACACCCCGCTTTCGTTTAGAGTGCTTAAATCGCGATTCGTACTTAGGTTCATAAGTAATATTTTGATTGACGCGGTCTCATATGTGACGGCCTTTACATACAAAAACTAGTTTTAAAGTGTGAAGACATAATTTTTCTTCCCATACATTATGCATTTTCAACCGCGCTCATTAAAAAAAAGTACATTAACCCCTCCAACCCGGAGCGATTTTTTGCTTTTTCTAAATTGCATATGCAACTTACCATGATTTGATGCTTGTAAATAAAGGGTTGGGCCACTGGCGGGAAATGGGGTAAAGTCAGTCGTGAATGGGTATGGACCAGACTAAAGTGTCCATAAGGTGCATATTGGGAGCTGAATTGACCTGGACAGTCTGCATATGCAGCATTACAGGACCGGTAGTAGACAGACGCTGTACAGATACGAGCCATCCGCATCGGTCTGTGCATTTGGTAGAGTTTTCATTTTTAGAAATTTTGAGGTGAAAACCTCCCATACAAAGTGTCATTGTGTCCGATGGGGGGTCGCCCACAGAAAGTAACGCTATCAGATGATGCGGTGCTGGCAGCTCGAGGTACGTTTTACTCAAATCAAGTGAAAAGATCTGCTGACAAAAGAGTCAGATGGATTAGGCACAGTGTCAGATGAGCCAGCAATACCTTGTGCGGGACGCAATTATCTTGATTTCTTAGACTGCATATATTCTGCTCAAAGTTCTTTATATAAGTAACACCAAGCACAGCAATGCAGTTTGCCAGCTAACTGTCTGTCCTACGTCGCTTTCCTCTACTAGCCGGATCCAGTGGTGTGAAAGGCGTGACAGGCTTTCAAGGCGTTGACGGAGCTCCAGTCGACGTGTCTGCAGCCCGACGCACTCTGATATTTCTACCAGTGTCGACCGGAACCAACTTGCCGTCCATCCACTCTCGGTGCCAGATATCCCAGCATGTCATAGCTACTCCACGTATCTGTCGGCGCGGCTTCATACACAGGAACATTGGCCCCGTGCTGCTGCATTCTTGACAAAAGAACGATGTTGTTGTCGCGCGTTTGTCCGCAACACGGAGAAGCGAGCAGACTTTGCACGCGCGCTGTCGGCGCTTCGGCTGCGTCATCGTATTGCGCCACTCATCAAGCTGGCGGACAGCGTGAGTAGTTTGTAGACCTCCAGATCCTGGAACGGAAGCACCTTGTGAGGGTTCGTGTGTACCAAACGTGTTGCCTTCATACATGTCGGACGCGTGCAGCTGCGACAGCTGCAAATGCAGTTTCTTCATGTACTTCACATGCGTCAATGGGCGAGACGACTTCTGCTTGTAGTAGGCTTTGTGGACTATGTAGCCATTCACAATTGCTAAATCAATTAATCATAACACCAGCAACTTGTAGTACTTTTTGAACCGCACGGACCGCTGAATAGAGTACCGCTGCAAACGTTACTGGTCGTGGACATCCACGCCCCCCATGAAGACGTGGTAGTCCTTCACGACGCGTGGGCAAGGAACTTCGACTTTATCTGCGAATTCTTGGTTAACACCACGATCCATCTCAAGACTCCCGCCAGTGCACATGAAGTGAACCGGCCGCGCGTCCCACCAGCTAACAGCAGTCGTGTTTGGCACTAACTTTGATCTTGAAACTTTGAAAGATCCACGAACAATAGTAGCAGGTCTAGACTTCTTTTTTTCAACGACTCCTTTGCAATAGCCCAACCGGTTTGTCATAATAGTCCCAACACAGTAGAATCCCATGAGCAGCAATTGAATTGCCCAATGCCACCGACGTATAGAACCGATCCACTACAACAAGTCTCATCCCATTCATCCGAGAATCTGGCCCAAACACAGCGAGAAGATTGCGGACTACTGCAGCAGGCCCTGACTTCATATACGTCTTGTGTGCATAGCCGGAGTGCTGTTTCTTACCGCAGTAAACCTCGAACCTGTATAAATGCAGCATACTTATAGCAAAATATCCAGCTTTAGTCTGCATTATTCAGCATAAGAAAAAACTTAGAACCAAAAAAATATACCTGATGCAGTAGGCGGTCACCGCACTGCACAACATAAAGAGCTTCGTGCCCCACTTGTGGGGTTTGTCTTTCATATAGACACGCATCTTGTTGAACTACGAGCGGCTAGGAAGCATCGCTTCATCAAAAGGCAAGAGTGCTGGAGCCATATACCCTCGCTCAAATGTCCTTTGTAGAACTTCCACAACTTTGCGAATCTTCCATGCTCTATCTGTGACCGCCCTTGGATCAGAGTTTGGATTGAAATGTAGGTTTCAAGAAATCTCCATAAATCTATCGCGACGCAGCACGGATCCAAACGCTCCACGTGGAATACCGCCTTCATCAGTAGTTTTCCAATGGTTTGCAAGTTTTTCGCGGTTGGGGGCAATCGTGCGTGCAATTAGGAGGCCGATAAAGCGACAAAGCTCGTGAGGTTGTATCTGTTTCGCACCTTCTAGCTCTGTCTTGATGTCTCGCTTGGTCTTCTTTGGTAGTTGAGGATTGAGCCGGCACTTGCTACGGTAGTGTTTGTACCGTTCATCAACACGAAGGCGTGCCATTTCACGCCCATACTCGTTGGAGCACACCGCAATGTGCTGCCACAGCACCACTGGTAGAAAGAAAACGAAATGCGCAAGCGGAGAGTCAGCATTGCGCAGTGCATCAGCTGTGGGGCCCGAATACCCTTACCGTAGCCCAGGGTAGCTTCGTGTGTTGTCCACCGGCTCGTACGGCGTGTTCATGTAGCCAAACGTATCTGGTTCCTCCACATCTTCCCAACCAGCCGCAGCCATTTCACGTAGAACATCGTTCTTGAGATTACCAGCTAACACTGCGCCCCCTCCTCCAAAACTAGATAGGAATCGCTCCACGAACAGAACTTCAGCAGCAATCTCAGTCTCAGAAGCTTCCGATTCGTCTTCATCAGGTGGAATGTACGTATCAGCGCATTCGTCATCGTCTCCACTGTCTTCATCCATAACCAAATTGTCTTTTGCAGCATCATCACCAGATTCCATGGCAGCATACTCGGCAGCGTCGTCTCCATCACACACCGTATTGAGCGAGTCGTCTTTATCAACAAGTAGCTCACTGCTCACTCCTCCATCTTCATCTTCATCGTCAACTCCATCTCCAACACTACCATATATAAAGCAACGAACCATACACAAATCAGTGAAAATGCACCACAAGATACAGTACTATATGCAGCACAAGATGCAGCATAATATAAAACGCACCAGGCTGGCAATCGCTTCCTTCCTCGACCGATTCCACCGACACATCGTCCACAGTCTCCTCGGCTTCAAACTCGGGGTCGTCGCCGAAGTTGTCCGGACTACCAACGCTGACATGGGGTGACGAAGCAATCAGTGTCGTGTGTGGCGGAGATGTAGCCGCCATAGGACTCTCTGAATCAGCCAATGAGCGCCTCGTAGGGCGCGAAGACCGTCGCCCAGCTCCAGGACTAGACGGTGGGGATGTTGGGGCACTTGCAGGGACATTAGGAGGTGCACTTCGAGGCGGTGAAAGCGTTTGAGATGGTTGCGAAGGTTGTGGCACGCTCTCCGCTTCGTTGCGACCACTTGTCCTTCAAATAGGTGGCCGTAGGTATCGCGAACGACTTGAGCAGCGCACTCTAGATCAGCATCATCACGGGTAGGTAGACTGGATGTTCGCGCTCAAGTACGTAGCTCTGTGTACGCAAACATGAAACGTTAGTTACCAATTGATAATAACATCACTAAAGTACCTTACCGTTCGCATAATACTCCAGCACTGCTTTTTCTCCCAGAAAAACGTCGACTCCTTCGACTCCGTCGGGGTTGCATCCGGGACGGACGTAGCGATATCTGTCGTCAAGGCCACTGTAATGGGCCCCTCCATTACATAAGTAGGTAGATTTCTTTACAAAAGTAGGTGCATCAGCACACGACTAGCGTGTGCTGAAATGCTGTCATGCCATTGGCTGATATATGGGGAGCCAGACCCATTATTAGCCAATTGGACTATGACGTGTATTTGAGTGGCCAGGGCTGTGGCCTTGGTCCTAAAATAAAGTCAGAGTTGATTTTTCCTTAAACCTAAGACTCAGTCGTCCTATTGCGAGCTTCCTCAACACTATAGTGTAAGCAAGTAACGGAGTAAATA